CAAGGCCAATCATGGTGTTCACACCGAGGAAGTTAGCCTCACTCCCGTTCCCGAACATGCTAAGTGGCAAAATTGTGAAGGACGCGGAGACGTTGGTGACCTGTGGGGAAGTCAAGGCTGTCAGCGCACGGATCGCACAGAGACATAAGAGGAGACTCACCCCAGTTGCATTTAAGATGGCACCAGCCACGTTTGGGGAGAAGCTGAGTTGAGAGCTGTTGTCTACCTGGCAGGTCGACACGTGCAACCCGCCAGCACAACGAACCAAGGGGCCGCTCACAAGTCCCTGAAATCCGGGGTAAATTGTGGGGGACAGCATTGACACAACAGTTGTGGCAGCCAGAGCCAAGACAAAGGATGAGATGATGAAGTGCATGGCCGTGTGAGCAACGTGGAGTCCAAAGAACTGTGATGTTGTCGAGTGAAGAAAGGTGAGGAATGTGTGGTTTGGTTACAGTGGTCAGGCAAGCTTATATACATTGCAGGCCTGTCCAGCAAGCATCTGCACACCATGTCAGTAATTCTGCGGTGCACCATGATGCACAGAGCTTGGCGAGGCGGGGCGTGCCTCATCACACTGGCGGCCATTGCGACTGAAAATGTCGCATATCAGGGTCTGCAAAGCTTGGCTTCAGACTGAATTTGATGGCAACTCAGATGTCAGACATTGGAGGACAGCCAGGAGGAGTGCGGTTTCGAGTGCTGAAGTGATGTTTCAGACAGGCACTAGGCCTTGAGATTGACGTCAACACGGTACTGCAGCTCGTCATCCCAACAGATCACGTGCAAGTGCATGCACAGCACTGGGGCCCAGCAGCCAAACATTCATGTTGGTTTCATGCTGCTGCCACATAGGGCGTGAACGCTGACGGAGGCCGTTCGTACACAGCTTGCGTCACGAATGGCTGGTCTGTGTTCCCGCACAGCGGCTGGCCTATCGGTTCGTGTTTCCTGCAGCTGATGTTGTCAGTGTTTGTTCTCACGTCTTGCATGCAGCAGACATCCCTGACGAGGCACTCAATCTCTAGTACATGCCATCTGAGCAGCCGTTGGCTCCGATCTCATCAGCAATTTCCCAATCAGTCTGGAAGTGCTGGAGCGTCTGGAGGTGCTGGACACTGGCTCCAGTAACTCCCAGGACGGCCCAGCACGTCCAGCACATTCCAGAAAAGCTGTTATTATCCAGTACAAAGTGCGCAGAGAGGTTGGCAGCTCAGATCAAGAACCCCCGCGGCTACAGGATCCCCACGGTTCAATTCGCCATAGAAATTGCTAAGTCACCATCAGCTAGTGTTGCCATGGCTTGGCTCAAAAGCCGCTCAGCTGTTAAGCCAAGCCACGTAGGAGCCGAGCCAAGCTGTTAATCGGCTCATGGCTTACCAGTAGCTTAGCTCAGCATGGCGCAGCTTGGCTCTGGCTCATAGCCGGTCAAGCCATCCTGATAAGGAAAGGGCCGCGTTGCCTTGCTTGCCACCATGCCCAAAGCTCACATCCAAGCCTCAGGAGGGGTAAAACAGTCTACGGCTACCCCTAGCAGGACATCTAAGAGGTGCAGAACCACTGCAAAGCACATTGAATTTGAGAATGGAGCTAGTATGACTCAGTGGAGGGTTACAGGTGCACATTTTTGAAATTCACCTGATCTCATCTCATTCTCTGTGGTACTTCAGATCTTGTCTTTGAAGAGCCTGTGCAGGAGTCTCCAATGAAGAAGAGAGGGGGGAAGAAGGGGCCTGGAACACATGATCTGGCTGAGAGAGAGACATTGATAAAGTGAGCAATGCCAAAGAAAGGCTGTCATACACAGCAGGCTGTACCAGAGCTCTACACTGAGAACGAGAAAGAGGCACAAACTCCAGAGAAACTAGACAGGTGCGTAGCTGATTATATATATGACAGCTGTCTAATAACTGGATTTTAGACCATATGTAAATCGTGACGCTGTAGCGCAGTATCCGCACTCTGAAGATCATGAGTTATTCGACTTGTCTGCTGTTGCTAGCAGTGACAGCTTGCTTACCAGTCCTACACCCCGTGCTGGTCCTTCACAAGGACAAGCTCCATTTCTCATCTTCGCAACTCCACATCGGCCAGCAAGTCCTCTGACTTTGCCTGTCGCTGGTCAATGCCGGAAGTTGCCAGCATGTGGACCTGCTGGCAACAGACATGGCAAGCAGGCAAATGACATCTGGTCCTTTCTCCACAGAAGAAAGTGGGCGAAAGCTGTGCAAGTTCTGCCTGTGTGATTTTGTTTATTGAATTTTGCACAATTTGCTAGATATACTAATTAGACTTGCAAAGCAATAAGATCCAAAGCACCAGGTGGCAGGCTGGACCACAGCAGGTACAGACAATCCCAGCAACATTTCTGTGACAACCACATCAATGCCTGGGTTACTGCATGTGACAAAGCGGGCATCAGAATCACAGCAAAGAGCGCTACTGCTTACGTCGAGGCATGGCGCTGTTGCCAACATGAAGAGGCAGGTTCAGATGCGCAGCACAAGGATGGCTGACCTTAGTTTAGCAAGGAGCTTTTTGTTGACTACATTGTAGAGTGGATTGTTGTTGATGATCAGGTAGGAATTTGATTGCAGTTTTTTCACACTTTAGATCTGATTAAATATTTGCAGTTGCTGAGTGTTGTTGACAACCTGAGACTACACAACATCTTTTTGTTGTTGCGTTCTGAGCTATGCAAGAAAAATATTCCTCACCACACAACCATTTGGGCTCGAGTTGGTGAGGTTCTTGAAGAATATCTGGATGAGCTCAGTCAGGATATGCAGGTAAGTGGCAAAAATTTTCCAAAAAAAAAGTTTAAATTCAGTTTTTTATTCAGAATGCAGCTGGGAAAATCTCCATCACCATGGACATGTGGACAGATCCTCATCTGTTTCCATACATGGCGGCCACAGCGCATTGGCTGCATCTGGGTACTAAGGACACTGGCAATAATCCTTGTCCACAGCTGAAGCTTTGCGCAGATCTTATCAGCTTTCATCGTGTCCCTACCAGACACACAGGTGAACATCTCGCAGCTGCATTTCTTCATATTCTGAATCGTATCAAGATCACTTATATAGTATGTTCACTTACTTGCATAAATGTTTTATTTTAACAAAAAATAACCAGATTGGCTGGATCACCATGGACAATGCTAGCAACAATGACACCTGTGTGAAAGCTCTTGAGAAGGAGCTGAAGAGGCGTCAGATTGTATTCAACAAACTTCAGCAACACATTCAGCAAGTAATTGTTTGAAAGATTCATTATTATTTCTCAGTTGTTTTCAGATGCTTCCTGCACATTGTCAACTTGGCATGTCAAACAGTTCTCAGTGCCATGACCAAGCTTGAATTTGTGAAAGAGTCATTGCAAAACTTTGAGCCTGAGGCTTTTTCTCCAGACAATTTTCTTGATGCCATTTGTCGTAATCTGATTGCAACGCTGTGTACCCTTATACGAGCGGTAGGTCTTATATAATTTTACAGCATCATTGTCTAACTTAGAACTCTTAGATACGTGCATCTTCTTTGTGCAGACAACACTTTGCAGATATTTTGAAATTAATGAAAAGAAGTGCTCTTCAGCTTCTCTGGAATGTTGAGACTCGCTGGTCTTTAACATATCTCATGATTGACAGAGCCATTCTTCTTTGTGAGGTATTTTTTTTGCACCAACCATGAAAAATCTATGCGCTAAGTTATTTACAGGCAATTGAGAAATTTCTCCATGGGGCTGAGTTTGCAGATCTGCGCAAGTACAGCCTTAACGGTGAAGGGTGGAAGGCATTGCAGATATTTCATAAAATCCTTCAGGTAAGTCACATTTCTCCAAATAAAAAAATGCATTAACTAATGTTAAAACAGATTTCACATGCATTCCAGCAAATGTTATCATCTCAGTCAACTCCAACGCTCATTAACATCTTGCCTGCATTTGAGGCAATGAAGCAATGCTGGGAAGACAGGCAGACTCAGCTATCACATGCTGCAGATATCATTCAGCAAGGTTTGGACAAACTTGCTGATTATCGTGATCACAACCAGGCAAGCGACACATAGATTCTAGCTACAAGTAAGGGCAATTTTATTACTATCACCTATAATTCTTACACCAGTTAGTTATCAATCCAGCTCACAAGCTGGAATGGTTTGAGCAGAATAGTTCACAAGAGAAGGCTCACGATGCAGAGAAGTTATTTTTAGCAGAGGTATTGCACTTTTTTGTTTAATTTTTTGTTGGAATATTCTGCTTACTGTATAAATATTCCAGATGCAAAAATACAAGTCACAGATGGCCTCCACTACCACACTGTCATTTGTTTCAGAGCCTGAGACTCAACAGCAAAAAGCCCACAACCTTTTGTTCAAAACCAAAGCAAAGGCCCTAGCAGCACGAACAGTGGAACAAGAGTGGTTTTCATACATTGCAGAACCCACAGATCCAAGCGTTGATGCCCTTGTGTATTGGCAGGTGAGTACAGCTTTATTAAACCTTGCATTCCGAATTCTTTCTCTATTTTACACTGAATTTTAACGCTTTTTTCGAAAAATTAGGCCTCAAATGCCAGATTTCCCACTATTTATAGCATGGCAATTGACATCTTGCCCATCCAAGGCTCTGCTGTCCCTTGCGAACGCATTTTCTCATCTGGGAAGATGACAGCCACAGACCAGCGCAACAGAATGGGTGGAGATCTAATAGAAGAGCTGCAAATGCTGAAGTTTCAGTTCAAACAAAACCACTCTCTATCTTTCACACAGGGATTGGGCATGGATGAAAAGATCTTTGACTTGGAAAGCCTTGGAAAGCAGGAGATATACTCATATGTAGCAACATTAAAGTGAAATGGCCAATGAATTGCATATTTTGCAGTACCTGTGTGAACTACCTTCCGTTTTGTGATGGGTAGCTGGCTCAAGCCACTTGAGAGCCATAGCCGCCATAAGCTGCAGCTTAACCTGTGGCTTGGCTTGACTCGGCTCAACCAAAAAAGGCAGAGCCATCAAAAGCAGAGCCAGAGCTGAGCTGAGCCAAGCTGTGGCAACACTACCATCAGCCATTGTCTGCAACTCGTCCTCTTCTTCTACTCATAACATTTTTCGCCATTAATGACTTTGCTTACATCTAGTCACATCTTGTTAGTGGCTCAAACTTGGGAGGTTTTGATGGAAGAGCAGAAGGACTACCAAACAGTGAGTGTAGCTTCATGTTGGAACCTGATGATATCGAGAATGGACGTGCAACCTGTACCACAAATACCTCATCAAGGGTATCAACATCCACACTACTACGTATGTTTGGTCTTCCTATCAATCCTCGAGCATGCTGCCTCCTGTTCATTTGAAACTATAAGCATCACAGACTGCAAAACACATATGAACAGCATTGCTGAGCCCACCATGGCACCGCTGGATGACTTCCTCTCTGCCAATGACACCCTTACTGACAATCTTGTACATGCCACCAGCTTCTGCACATTGCTTGTGCAGTGCGCGATAGTGTAAGGGCTAGGGCACTAACCCTCCCCTTGTAGGACGACAGGCTTTGTGGCACCTGATGCCATCAGTGCGCCTGCCCGCCTCATCGGCCTGAGCTCTCAACACCTCATGTGTCTTGTGTTTCGTATCCCCTCCTTTGTTCCTATTCCTTTTATCCTTTGACTCCCCATGACTCCCTTCGACTCATCCTGACTTTCTTCGGATCTGTCTCGGCTCCTCATTATGACTTAGGGTAGGACTTCTAGTATATATAGGCATAGATACAATGGTGTATGGTAGTTTCTCGAGAATCGAGACTTACCCCACTCTTTCTCTGGTGTGATAACCTCTCGCAAGCTCAGATCCTCATTCCCGAGGTCCTGCAACGTAGCCGCTGACTCACTGATTACTCGACTCGTCAAGTGCCTACCGAAGCCGAACCTTACAGATAGGATGCCTACGACTCTGCGCGCATAGTATCTTGAGAGCACACAGTGTTGTGCCTGCAAGTAAGCACCCTGGTCAGTGCACATGGTTTAAGAGCTTATGTGCATTGTCAGGCAGGAAAAGAGAGGACTACTCTCAGGTTGCGAGGGTAGCCGGGAGTTCCTCTGAGGTTTGCTGGACTGCGGCCTTGGGTCGAGCTATTCCAGTGTTCAGTGTTGGGAGAGGGCAAATTGAGTGAGTCAGTGATGGCGCTACAAGTGACAGAAAAGTGCAGGGGGCAGCGGAGTCTGTCGGTGGGCTCGCAAATCCGAACAGCACTCTCACGGCATCTTCTAAGGCCTTCACATGACCTGGACGAGGACAGCAATGCGAGGAGGCAATCCAGCCATACACCAGTGAGTTCTGGCCTAGTTTATCATCGTCCCCAGATGTGACCATGTCGCACAGTTTGTGTCCTGTCAAGATAGATGCTTGACAGCGTCACACTTAGCATGTGCGTACATAGTGCCTACATAATTTGCTGGAGCAGTTGTTGTGGTGAGCAGAGATGTGTGTTAATGTGCAAGGCTGCTGCTAACCTGAGGGCTGCTCCCATTGCTCATTGGTATATCAGATCGTGCACTCAAGGCAGGTGTAAGCCAGAATCTGAAGGTCCTGTCCCAGACTTGATGCAGCTGCTCACATGGAATGTCACCACTCACTACCATGGCAGGTGGTTGCCAAGACCATGTCATGATGATTCTCCAGTACATTCAGCGCCAGCTGTCCAAGTATCTAAATGGTGAGCAGCCTGGACCATACTGCATTCTTCTACAGGAGATCTGGTAAGATGTGCTTTCTGCCATCCCCTACCATGAGTGGGTGTACAACCACTTTGTGTTCAGGTGCTGGCTGAGGTGTGTAGGATATGGGAGTGCAACGCTCACCACATGCACATCATCCCATTGCAGGTGCATAGGTCATAGAGTACAGCTATTCTGCTGTGAAGCATCATGCATTGATTGCTAATATCTGTTTATGCACTAGTATATCATCTGAAGTGCTGCGGACAGGGAGGGCAACAAGCTAATGCAGCACATTGCAGACACACACTTCGAGCCACTGTGGGGTGCCTCAAAACAGCCTTGTGCGCAGTTAACAACAATGTATTTGATAGCCATGTAATTTGATATAAATATATATATATACATGCTGCATTTCTATACATGTGAGAAAAGCTGAATTATCAATACCAAAAAATAAGCTGCTAGCCTGTGTGAAACTGGAGATCACTGGGTGCCAATGCCATGTCTGGGTTCTGGATGTGCTATCTGGTCTGTACTGGGTCCATAAATACATGTCTGGCTCCAGAAGGTTTTCTGGATACTGGATGTATTGGAGGTGACTGTTCCAAATGTTCCAGACACTTCCAGGCACCTCCAGATGCTCTGGGAAATTGCTGATGTTCGAGCTTCCTCACCGCATCGTGCGTGCCCATCGTAAGCCTCACCTCCCCCCCTTCTCTATGTTTCCTACTTGGCCTGCCCACATTGCCTTAACCCGTTCCCAGCACTTCTTCCTGCTGCCTACCAGCCTGTCCATGGAGAATGCGATGGAGAGCATGGCAGAAGAACGGCAGGATCTCGACCACGGGCTGTGCACAGACATGTCAGCGCTCTTTCACACAGCATTTGCGTGAACAAAAAGAAGTGAACCATGCAGCATCACTGCAGAATTGCGCTCGCCATGCATGAATGGCTGTCTTGCCTAATATGGCAGGATCAGCTGGCCAGAAAATACAGTGACAACCTAAAGTATTGCAACAGACTACAGAGGGGTGCTAAGAGCCCTCAATATCTCTGCGAATATTACAGATGGCTGGACACATTGTATATGGTTTCTAAACTGGACAACTAGCTGTATTTTCTCAAGATATGACTTTGTAGCAGAAGGTGTATGCTGGAAGAGTATATCGAAAATAGCTGAAAATATGCATATTGATCATATAATTTGGAGTATAATACAAACTGTAGAATATGGTGCATTGGCATAAGAAACAAGGATTATTTCTGTCTAGACACTGAAAGCGGGACGCGTTCTGCACGTTGTTTACACTTGCTTTGTTGAGTCACATGACCCAGCATTTGCTGCTAACCAGACTATGTAGTATCATGTCGACGTCAATCTCAAGGCCTAGTGCCTGTCTGAAACATCACTTCAGCACTCGAAACCGCACTCCTCCTGGCTGTCCTCCAATGTCTGACATCTGAGTTGCCATCAAATTCAGTCTGAAGCCAAGCTTTGCAGACCCTGATATGCGACATTTTCAGTCGCAATGGCCGCCAGTGTGATGAGGCACGCCCCGCCTCGCCAAGCTCTGTGCATCATGGTGCACCGCAGAATTACTGACATGGTGTGCAGATGCTTGCTGGACAGGCCTGCAATGTATATAAGCTTGCCTGACCACTGTAACCAAACCACACATTCCTCACCTTTCTTCACTCGACAACATCACAGTTCTTTGGACTCCACGTTGCTCACACGGCCATGCACTTCATCATCTCATCCTTTGTCTTGGCTCTGGCTGCCACAACT